GTTTTTTTTCAAAATGTTTTGTTTGTAACCACTGAATTAGAGCTATATTAACATGAACTCACTGTGCACCGATCTTGTTTGTTTTCATAAACTGATGTAGTGGCCACTATAATAGGAACTCACTGGGCACATTTTTTCACAAATTTGTGATGCGTGTTAATTATACTTGTCATAATATACTAACATTAGGCCTATTCTATTTTTAAAACACTACATTCCCTATCTAGTCCTTTAGGGATTTTCCAGAATTATAAGTGAATAATAATAGTATTCCAACCACACTATTTATGTCATATCCGACGCGTTGCACTCAATCTAAAGCTCTTCAGGCCCGGGCTGGGATACAAGAAACGATAGTATTTTCGGTGGACATGAAATCTCGCATTGTGTTTCACATAACATCGTAGGAAGAAAATATTTCATGATTTCAATATCGAGTATACAGTGTTTTGTCTCTAGATAATAATTCAAGAATTGGACCTTACTGAAAAATATATTAAATATAGCATAGTTGCTATAACGATATTACAAGTTTGTCATAGTTTATAAGGATCGTTATTCTGTGACATGTACTGGTAGATTTGTGGAACCAATTTTTTTACTGTTATATTTCAGCATCTACATGAAGGAGCAAAACTTCAAACACAGCTGCAAACTTCATTAGCACAATTAGACAAGGTTGGATTTTTTTTTAAACTTATTGATAAGGAAAGTTGGTAAATTACTGTTCAGTTTTTATAGTTTATACTAAAGTATCGTGATATACCTTTGTTTATTAATTATAATTTAATTAAACCTAATAGATAGGGAGGAGATTTAAATGTTTTAATTGTCTATAAATACAGAGATAATTTGTTACACATTTTGTAGCTTTCAGAACACAATGTTAACTTTTTGTTGTCAAAGCTCCTAATCAGATTAGCTGTTTTACTCGTGATATTTGCTTATTGTGTGTAGTGTTCCAAGGCAATTTTCTAGAGGGTTTACCGTGATAAAACAGTTTGATGATAAATGGGACTAAAACACTGTTGAAGTGAAAAATTCTGTAGACTTTATTATTGGATACTTAGTAAATGAAAAACAGTTAACTCTATGTCAATGGATCGATCAATTTGACAGACCTTGTAATAACTGTAACTCTAATTATAATAAGTATATATCTTAAAATTTGGTAAGCTTTTAGTAAACATTCTAATTATGTTGTACACAAAAAAGTTAGATTTTTTTAATAGAATTTTTTATGCTAAAGTTCTATCTGTTAATGTGTGAAGCTTTTACGAGTCTGAGTGAAAGGTGATTTTCATGCTAAGAATAAAAAATACTTTTCGTTTTAGTTTCCATATTTCATGTACATAATGCCAAGAACAATCTAAATGTAAATGAAAAGTTTTTTCAGTTAAACTTTATGCATTATCTCTTCCCTAACACTAAGTGCAGTAAAATCATCAACAAACAGTAAAAAGTCTCTTCCCTAACACTAAGTGCAGTGAAATCATCAACAAACAGTAAAAAGTCTCTTCCCTAACACTAAGTGCAGTAAAATCAACAAACAGTAAAAAGTCTCTTCCCTAACACTAAGTGCAGTGAAATCATCAACAAACAGTAAAAAGTCTCTTCCCTAGCACTAAGTGCAGTGAAATCATCAACAAACAGTAAAAGTTAAAAGACAGGAAATAAATAAAAAAAATACTTTCATATATTTTCTAGAACTGGAAATTATAACAAACAATTACTTATCCTAACAGCTTCAGACCTGTAAGCTTTTCACAGTAGTTTTCATGTGATTTTATTGTTTTATTTCTCTCTGAACCGTACGTAACTAATGTTAAAAAAGCAATAAATCACCCGAAGAGAGATTAGGGTAAATAAACTTGGATCAGATTACATCACACAATAGCAATCTGTGTGCATTTTTTGAGATTAGGAGAATTTTTTGTCATTAAAGTTTTCTTATCTAACATAATAAGTTTCTAATTTTTAGTTATTTTTTTCAAAATTTACATAACAATAAATAAATAATATCATAAAAGAAATCACTTTAGTCTTGAGCCCTTTTGCACTCGAGTGCCTGGTTTAGTAAGCCTTTTTTTTATTCTCACTATGTTGGTTGTCCACAAAATACCTTATGTAGCACTCAAATTGACATTTTAAAACATTATATATATATTGAACGTCCCAGATCTACTGTATTTGGAAGGATATTTACTCCTGAACTCGTGTGAAGGTGTTTGAGCAAATATCTTAAGATTTACTAGGATATTAGTCTACTGTAAGAATCCTTTGGTTTCAAGTTATCTACAGAAACTAAAATTAAAGCGAGTGCTTAAGTAATTATTTCAACAAAATAAACAAGCGGGAACTATTAAAATTTATTTATTTCCTTTATGTGGCAACAACAAGCCAAAACCATGGACTAGTAGTTGCGTCCAAAAGAAGGCTTCTGATTAATATCGAAAAGTTAAAAAAACGTACAACCCCTATGTAGAAAGGGAATTCTATAGCAAATAAATTGAGAAAAAAAAATGCAAGTTTTTTTTAAAGATGTGATTTTATTAGCTTTAGAAGTTTGAAAATTGTAGAACAAAAAGTGCAGTTAGCTGAACTTTACAGATTTTGAAACCAACTTGAAAAATTCATAGTTTTTAAAGAATATCAGATAGAAATAAACATCAAACACATACAAAGAAGACAGATTTATAACTAACTTCGCATGTTACCATGTGTTATGTACGGGGGAATTTGAGTTAAGAACACTTAAGCTATAATTTTATTTTTTAAATGACTGGAGTGCTAAAGCTCAGAAGAAGAAAATAATTTAAACACAAAGCTGGAAATAACATAAATTCTTCTTTATTTATTGCATCAGTGAATAGGAACTGGTATGTTGGTGTTAATTGTTTTGACTTTAAGGAGATTTATCGATTGGGCTTTTTTTTTTGTTTGTTTCTGTTATTATTTTTCCATGTTGAAATTTATGGAACATATCTCCTGAACAGGCAAAGAAAGCATATGAAAAAACTTTCAAAGAAGCAGAAAAAACACAAGAAAATTTTTTAAAAGCTGATGCAGACTTGAATTTGTCCAGAGCAGAAGTGGAAAAGGTAAGAATTTTGTTGTATTAAGTTGCAAAGGCACATTCGTGTGCGTGTGTCAGGACTAGAAAAATGGCCGATATGGAAAGAGCTTTTTTTTTTTTTTCATTCAATCGAATCCAGCACAATGGCTCGTTAAACATACAATGCCATATTTTTTTTCATCGAAATCTTTATTACTAGTAGACTATAATGAACATCCATTTGACTATCTTTATAACAGTGTTAAATGCCTACTCAAAACATAATAAAGGTAATAAAATTAACATTTGGAAGCTTTTACTTTTTACAGTACATGTATGAATGGATTTTTGACAGGACAAATCAATAAGCAAATATGCTCAGGTGGCAAAGGTCTATCAGTTTACACATCAAGTTTTTATCTGGTTGGTACAAGTGGGATGCAGTCTTTAGAATCTTTTTATAATTAAATTTTCCCTACTGGTTTTAATACACTGGTGTCCTTTATAATTCTGGCAACTAAAATCTTCAATTTTTTTATATTTAATAAAATCTGGAAACTACTCTTTCATTCTGCCAAAAGAAAAAATAATCAGTTATGATCATAACTGATTATTTTTAAGTACATGTAGAAGGTTCTTTAGTCGTTAATGAGATAGTAATGTGTACAACTTGACCCCCTCACTTTATCTGTTGGTGTTGGAGTAATATGACTGTTTGGTAGCACAACATTGAGGGCTGTTACATGTTATAAAGGGTCACCTATTTTCTGTTACGTGTTATAAAGGGTCACCTATTGGATTTTACTTGTTACACAGGATCACCTGTTGGCTGTTACATGTTATAAACGGTCACCTATAGGATGTTACATGTTATACTGGGTCACCTATAGGCTGTTACGTGTTATAAAGGGTCACCTATTGGCTGTTACGTGTTATACAGGATCACCTATTGCCTGTTACTGTTATAAAGGGTCACCTATTTGCTGTTACGTGTTATAAAGGGTCACCTATAGGCTTTTATGTGTTATAAAGGGTCACCTATTTGCTGTTACGTGTTATAAAGGGTCACCTATAGGCTTTTATGTGTTATAAAGGGTCACCTATTTGCTGTTACGTGTTATAAAGGGTCACCTATAGGCTTTTATGTGTTATAAAGGGTCACCTATAAAATGTTGTTATGCATAATTAATGATATTTATTCAAAGGCTGTCAACATTTGTAAAAATAAATTGTGTATTTTGAATTTGTGATGTTTCAGTAATAAACCATACACATTCAACAACAGTATGGTACCATTGTATAACACTTCTTTAGTTCATCTTAGTACCCATAGGTGTTAAATAATTATCATTTTCATTTAGAAACGTTTGTTGCATATAAGTGTCGCTAACGTTTTTACAGAATTATGAAGAAATGTGTAAATGTTTAATAAAATGTAGAGAAAAGTAAAGCTAAAAACTTTAAAATAAATATGGGCAACTATTTTAATAAAATGATATAATGTAAATAAAAGTAAAGCTAAAAACTTTAAAATAAATATGGGCAACTATTTTAATAAAAGTATATAATGTAAATAAAAGTAAAGCTAAAAACTTTAAAATAAATATAGGCAACTATTTCAATAAAAATGATATAATGT